AACATGGCGAAACCCCGTCTCTATTCAACAACAACAACAACAAAGCCGGGTGCGGTGGCTCACGCCTGTAATCCCAGCACTTTGGGAGGCTGAGGTGGGTGGATCACGAGGTCAAGAGATCGAGACCATCCTGGTCAACAAGGTGAGACCCCGTCTCTACTAAAAATACAAAAATTAGCTGGGCATGGTGGTGCGCGCCTGTAATCCCAGCTACTCAGGAGGCTGAGGCAGAAGAATTGCTTGAACCCAGAAGGCAGAGGTTGCGATAAGCCAAGATCGTGCCATTGCACTCCAGTCTTGGCAACAACAGCGAAACTCCGTCTCAAAAAAAGGAAGGAAGGAAGGAAGGGAGGGAGGGAAAGAAAGAAAGAAACTGCAGAGGGAGAAATGGAAGCGAACGCACAACAGCCCAGTGCTGCCCCCTTGTGGTAATGGCCGAGATGTGCAGATCCGCAGCACATCCCAGCAACCGCTTCCTCACCCATTCACTCTCAAGGCTTGCCCAGTTCAGACACCACGCCTGGATCCCAACCTGTGTTAGGGGAACCATCACTTCAAAATCCACAGAGGGGCCGGGCGCGGTGGAGAGAGGACTCCTTACCCCATGGCAGGGTTTGGGGCATAGAACCTGCAGAGGGAGAAATTGAGGCGGACTCACAGCAGCCCAGTGCTGCCCCCTTGTGGCGATGGCCGGAATGGGCAGAGCGTGAGCGCATTCCCCCCCATCAGCTTCCTCGCCCGTTTACTCTCAAGGCTTCTCCAGTTCAGACACATCTGGGGTCCCAACCTGTGTTAGGGGGCACCATCACTTCAAAATCTACAGTGGGCTGGGCATGGGGGAGAGAGGACTCCTTACCCCATGTCAGGGTTTGGGGAATAGAACCTGCAGAGGGAGAAATTGAGGCAGACTCACAGCAGCTCGGTGCTGCCCCCTTGTGGCGATGGCCGGGATGGGCAGAGCTGGAGAGCATCTCCCCACCATCAGCTTCCTCACCCATTCACCTTCAAGGCTTCCCCAGTTCAGACACATCTGGGGTCCCAACCTGTGTTAGGGGGACCATCACTTCAAAATTCACAGGGGGGCCAGGCGCAGTGGCTCACTCCTGTAATCCCAGCACTTTGGAAGGCCGAGGTGGGCAGATCACGAGATCAAGAAATCGAGACCATCCTGGCCAACATGGTGAAACTCCGTCTCCACTAAAAATGCAAAAATTAGCCGGGCATGGTGATGCTTGCCTGTAGTCCCAGCTACTTGGAAGGCTAAGATAGGAGAATCGCTTCAACCTGGGAGGCAGACGTTGCAGTGAGCTGAGATCACACCATTGCACTCCAACCTGGCAACACAGGGAGACTCCGTCTTTTTAAATAAAAAAAAAAAAAAAAAGGAAAAAAAATCCCCATGGAAGGAGGCGGTCTCCAACCATTCCAGAAACGTGTAACCTCAAGTCTATCCAAGAAGCCAAGGCCTGGAGCAGTGCCTCACGCATGTAATTCCAGCACTTTGGGAGGCCAAGGCAGGTAGATCACATGAGGCCAGGAGTTCAAGGCCAGCCTGGCCAACAAGGTGAAACCACTTCTCTACAAACTACAAAAATTATCTGGGCGTGGTGGTGCACACATATAGTCCCAGCTACGCTGGTGGCTGAGGCACAAGGATTGCTTGAACTCATGGAGGTGAGCTATGATTGGGCCACCGTACTCCAGCCTGGGCAATAGTGCAAAACTCTGTCTCGAAAAAAAGAAAAGAAAAAAAAGAAGCCCAGGTCCTGGGCTGTGACATCCAGGGATTTCAGGCCCAGTGGGTGGGCCATGATGAGATGAGTGGCATATGCATCTCATTCATTTGTTCAGTCAAACATTCGACCTGGAGGATGTAGCATGAAGCCATGTAGGTAAGGTCCTGGTCCCTAGGGCTCTACAGGGACACAATCATCCGACCTCAGATACTGGCACACACAGGGAGGGAGATGAGATGGATGTACACTGAGCGGCCAAGGTCAGTGCCAACGGAGCACCAAGGACAGAGCCAGAAGATGTGTAAGGGGCAAAGGAGGCAGGTCTCCCAGGCAGGAATGCCAAGCTGAGATTTCAAGACAGGTGGCCGGATGTGGCCAAGGGTGGCAGGGCAGGGTGAAAGGGCCTGGGGATGGAGCAACCAATTCACTCAAGATGCTGGTAAAGGCTGCCTCCACACCAGAGGGCAGGGGGTCTGTGAAGTCTATGGAACGAGGAAGGGGTTGGAGGAGGTGGCAGGTGGAGACGAGGTTTCAGACAGGAGCCAGTTGACCAGGGGAGGCCTTATTTCTCAGCCTTTCTCCACCCCAGACCCATGTGCAGAATTTTGCCAGACATGGGAACTGCCTGAATTATTGATTCACTGGATACCTTTTTGAAAAGCTGTTCCCCTTGAAGGGTGTTTTTTTTTTTTTTTTTTTAAGACAGAGTCTTACTCTGTTGCCCAGGCTGGAGTGCCCTGCTGTGCTCTTGGCCCAACGCAGCCTCCACCTCCCAGGGCTCAAGTGACTCTCCTGCCTCAGCCTCCCGAGTAGCTGGGATTACAGGTGCATCCCACCATGCCCAGCTAATTTTTGTATGTTCAGCAGACATGGGGTTTCACCATGTGGGTTGGCCAGGATGGTCTTGAACTCCTGACCTCCAGTGACCTGCCCGCCTCAGCCTCCCAAAGTGCTGGGATTACATGTGTGAGCCACTGTGCCTGGCCTCCCTTTTAAAAATTAAGCACATTCTTTAAAGACAAAACATTTCTATCTCTACCATAAATGGAAAACCAGCATCTCTTGTCAGAAAAAAAAGGGTAAAGCTGGCCAGGTGCAGTGGCACCTCAGAGTTCAAGATGCCTATGCTAAGACTCACCAGGGTGCAGCCGGCCTCTTTCATCCTGGCTGCCTCCAGCTGGTGAGCTGAGCGCCATTTCCCCCACAGCGAGTAGGGGCAATGGTAAGTTGGTGGTGCTCTGGGCCCACACTCCGCCCTCTGGCAGCAAAGCCTCCGAAAACTACCTGGAGCAGGAAGAGCACAAACTTTGAGGTTTGAGTAGGCTCAACCCCAGCCAGAAGTACGCATCAGAGGACCAGGATGGAGGGCGTCTAGCCGAAGGCCTGGAGAAGGGTTGGCCCTCTGGATTGGGGAAGATGAAATCCACCAGCCATCCTTGAACTTTGTCTTTGTGAAATTGACTAGACCGCTCTATAAAACTTTAGAGTCCTCCACTGGGAAACTGACCACCACTAACAACTCCTCCAGTGAAACTGTCCAGCCCTTCTCTGCCTAATTGCAAACTGAACTACCCTCTTTCTTGACTGTTAAGAGGGCTGGGGTTACCACCTCAGCTGCCCCACTCCCCCTACCCCCAATAAAGCCTCTTCTTTCAGGGAATTTTTAAAAATGGTATTCCTGGGTTGCAATATCTGCAGATATTGCAGCTCCCCCGACTGTAGGATGAGAACTGCCTGTTTCCCTGACTGGCCATAACTTTTAGCTTCTGCCAATCTGATAGACAAGCAGTGCTGTTGTCAGATGTTCCTGATACACTCTGGCATGATGAGACACCATCCAGAATCCTGGCTAAGAGCTACAATAGCATCAGATTGGTGCCCCATGGCTGCATCTAATTCGACTTTGCCTTTCCTGGCTGTGTCCTTGTGTAAAGCCCTTGGCCTGCCCTTGGCACAGAGGATGAGGTCCATAACTGGAGTTCCTCTTCTAAGCTGTTCAAGCCTCTTGCATTTTATAGTAATAATGCTGGCTTCATTATGAAGGAAAAAAGAAAAAGAATGCTGGATTCATTGACCATGTCAAGAGCAGACCCCTCACCTGGATTGTCACTGATTTCACAACATCTGGACTAGCAATGATTTCACCTAGATTATGTCACTTGATTTCACAACAACCATATGACTTGTTATTATCCCCATTTTACAGATGAGGAAGGGAGGGGTTGGAGGTTTAAAGAAAGGTGGAGGTCGGGCCTGGTGGTTTACAGCTATGATTCCAGCACTTTGGGAGGCTGAGGCAGGAGGGTCACATGAAGCCAGGAGTTCAAGACCAACCTGGGCGATATAGTGAGACCCCATCTCTGCTGAAAAGAAAAAATTAGCCAGTCACGGTGGTGAGCACCTATAGTTCCAGCTACTCCAGAGGCTGAGGTGGGGAGGACTGCTTGAGTCCAGGAGTTTGATGGTGCAATGACTATGATTATGCCACTGCACTCCATCCTGGGCCACAGAGCAAGACCCTGTCTCAAGGGAAAAAGAAAAAAAGAAAAGTGGGACCATGCCTAAGCTCATAAAGCTGAATAAGCAGGAGAAAGGTGGGACTTTTGAGCAGGTAAACACACACACATATACACACGTGAATATGTGTGCACATACAAACCTATACATACGTACATTTCTTTCTTTCTTTCTTTCTTTTTTGAGACAGAGTTTCATTCTTCTTGCCCAGGCTGGAGTGCAGTGGCATGATCTCGGTTCACTACAACCTCTGCCTCCAGGTTCAAGTGATTCTCTTGTCTCAGCCTCCCCAGTAGCTGGGATTACAGGCATGTGCCACCATACCCGGCTAAATTTTGTATTTTTAGTAGAGACAGGATTCCACCATGTTGGCCAGATTGGTCTCGAACTCCTGACCTCAAGTGATCCACCCACCTTGGCCTCCAAAGTGCTGGGATTACAGGGGTGAGCCACCATGCCCGGCTGGCCTGGCCACATTTCTAAGAGGACATGAACATGCATCAGATTTTCAATAGGGTTAGCTCCCTCGGGATAAATTCCTCCAAACAGAATACCTGGGCTCTAACAGGACTCTATTTTGCAAACGCTTGATCAGTTTCCCCACCCAGCCATCAGAAATCTGGAAATAGTGGCAGCCACAGAAATGTGGAGCGGGGCCATCTCCAAAGCTGTTCAAGCCACGCCCACAAGAAGCCCATTCCCCCACCTCCTCCTGCAGGAAGTGAGGATGAGGCCACAGTGAAGGCACGCATCACAATGGCTGTTCCACTGGAGCCAGGCCCAGTAAGAGGTGGCCGGGTGTGACTCCAGCTCCTCACACCTTCCAGCAACCGGGCCTCATCATGAGAACCCCTCAAAATGAGGGCATAAGCACTCAGAGCTTGGAACATGGTGCTGCCCGGACACCATTGCTGGGACAGAGGCCCACCAGAGCACCAGGATGGAACGGTCCCCAGGGTGAGGGCTCCCCTCATTCAGGGGCCAGGGCTGGCAGGGACCAGGGAGAAGTCGACTCTGGAGCCTGCAGGAAGCAGAGAGGAGACGAGGGTCCCTGTGCTGAGCTGGGGGCTGCCCTCAGTCCTCACCACCCTCCCCCCAAGTCCTACTGTCCCCACCAAATCCGGGCACACAGAACCCAATAGAGACCATCAGGCAGTGGGGCCTTCAACGTCCTGTACTCTCTCTTAAAGTGTTGCAAGGAAGTGACCAAATAAGGCTAATGACTCACCCACATCAGGTATGACACTCCTGCCCGTGACCGGAGACAACCCAGGCTGAGTGTGGAGGCAGTGGGAGGCAGAGGTGGTCCTAGCCCTGGGGCTCCCTGGCCATGTTGTCGTGGCCTTGGGAAAGTTACCGAATCTTTCGGAACCTGTTTTCTTACTCACCTGGAAAACAGTGAAGACTGTGCGGTCAAGAGGGTTAAGAAGGCTGGCCGGGCGTGGTGGCTGACACCTATAATCCCAGCACTTTGGGAGTCTGAGGGGAGGATGACTCGAGCCTAGGAGTTCCAGACCTGCATGGGCTGCAAAGGGAAAACCCTTCTCTACAAAACATTTTAAACTATTAGCCAGGGGTGCTGGCATACCTGTAGTCCCAGTTACTCAGGAGGCTGAGGTAGAGGATGGCTTGAGCCGAGGTTGAGGCTGCAGTGAGCCACGATGATGCTACTGCATTTCAGCCTAGGTGACAGAGCGAGACCCTGTCTCAAAAAAAAGAGGGTTGATGTACGGCTGGGCAGCAGGGCAGTTGCCTGAGATCAGAATGACTTCAGCTGGAAGCCCTGGGCCAAGTCCTTAATTTCTGACATTCAGTTTCTTTTTTTTGGAGACAGAGTCTCGCTGTGTAACCCAGGCTGGAGTACAGTGGCATGATCTCAGCTCACTGCAACCTCTGCCTCCTGGGTTCAAGCAATTCTCCTGCTTCAACCTCCGGAGTAGAAGGGATTACAGGTGTGCGCCACCACAGCTGGCTAATTTTGGTATTTTTAATACAGACAGGGGTCTCACAATGTTGGCCAGTCTGGTCTCGAACTCCTGACCTCAAGTGATATGCCCACTGCAGCCTCCCAAAGTGGTGGGATCATAGGCATCAGCCACCACACCCAGCTGACCTTCAGGTTCTTCATCTGTAGATTGGACGTTCAGAACAGCCCTGGGAAGGGCTGCTGGGGCACGGGATAGGCATGAAACCACTTCTGTCCCCCAGGGCCCAGATTGTGTGCTATGAAGTAGCAGCGAGCAGGGGAGGCTTGGTTCCTGCTCTTTGAGTGCGCCCAGGTCCTGGGAGGGAGCAGCAGGAATTAGGTCTCCAGACAAAGCCCAGGTCCTCATGTAAGCACCCACGTGGTTCTCAGTGGAAACTCGTCACCCACACAGCATTAACTGATCAGCTCCTGTCTTCCTCACTGCTGGACCGCACACTGGATATCCATGATCTCAGAATTCCTTGTCCAAACAGCCACACGCTTGCTTCCAGGTCTTCAGGGACTCTTCTGGAGGCCCCAGGACCGGCCAAGCAGTGGCTACTGGGAAGTGAGGGGATGCAGCTGGGGTGTCCACACACTGAGGTTCTTTGTGGTTCACTGGGACCCAAAAAGTCCTCCTTTGAAGGAGTAGAGGGAATGCAGCCCCGTTTGGGGGCTACTCAGCCCTGACCAGAGGCAAAGGCATAGAGTTTGCAGTGCAGGCTCTGGAGCCAGGAACATTTAAGTTCCATCCTTGGCTCTGATGCGTATTGCCTGGGTGACCTCAGGCAGGTTATTTACCCTGTCTGAGCCTAGTCTCCACACCTGCACAATTCTAATAATACCACATACTCACCTCACTGATGTTTCGGCAGGAGTAAATGCAGTGCTTAGTACAGGGTGCAGCATATAATAAACGCTCAATATATTTTTTAAAAAGATCAAAAGGCCCCGTGCCATCTCCACATCCTGAACTTTCTGGTGCTACCTCTGGGAAAATCTTACATCTTAAGACATGAGGGCACAACTGGAGTCAGAAATGCCTGGGTTTGGCTGGGTGCAGTGGCTCATGCCTGTAATCCCAACAGTTTAGCAGGCTGTGGTGGGTGCATCACGACATCAGGAGTTCGAGACCAGCCTGGCTAACATGGTGAAACCCTGTCTCTGCTAAAAGTACAAAAATTAGCCAGGTGGCACAGGCCTGTAGTTCCAGCTACTCAGGAGGCTGAGGCAAGAGAATCAGTTGAACCCAGGAGTTGGAGGCTGCAGTGAGCCCAGATTGCACCACTGCACTCCATCCTGGGCGACAGAGGGAGACTGTCTCAAATACATACATACATACATACATACCTGGGTTCAAATCCCAAGTTCTTCCACCTCTAACCATACAACCATGGGCAATTTTAGCCATTCCCGTAGGCCTGTTTGCTTGCTTTTTAGTTAGAGATAGGGTCTCACTCCATCACCCAGGAGCGTGACCTGGGTGTGACAACTCACTGCAGCCTCAAACTCCTAGGCTCAAGCCATCCTCTTGTGTCAGTCTCCCAAGTAGCTGGGACTAAAGGCATGCACCACCATGCCCAGCTAATGGCCTCAGTTTTCTATTCTGTAGTATGGGTGCCTACCTCATACTACAGAATGAGTTTTTTTTTGAGATGGAGTCTGCCTGTGCCACCCAGGCTGGAGTGCAGTGGTGTCATTTTGGCTCACTGCAACCTCTGCCTCCCGGATTCAAGTGTTTCCTCTGCATCAGCCTCCCAAGTAGCTGGGAGGAGATGCACGTGCCCCCATGCCCGGCTATTTTTTGTATTTTTATTAGAGACGGGGTTTCACCATGTTGGCCAGGCCGGTCTCGAACTCCTGATCTCAGGTGATCTGCCTGCCTTGGCCTTCCAGAGTGCTGAGATTACAGGTGTGAGCCACTGCGTCCAGTCTGAGTTTTAAGCTAAGTCCCTGGCCCATCGATCTGAGGATGTTTTTCTTCCTCTGTCCTAAAGGTCCGCATCCTGCTGGCCCTCCCATTACCTATGGTCCTCCTCCCCGGACATACTTTGAAGGCCCCCGATTTGTTCACACAGGTGAGTACCCCTGCCAACCTTCTCTCCTTGCTTTCTGTCTCATGCTCGGAGCTGCCCAGAACATTCCCTTTCTGGACCACTGATCAAGACTCTGCCCAAACAGCTGGCCAGCTGCCTCTGCCACTGCTCCCATCCTGGCTGTGTTGCCAATGACCACCAAAGCATCTCTCTCCAGTGGAAACTCCCTGGTGGACAGGGGTGGTATACAATAGGTGCTCAGGAAATGTTTATGGAGTCAATTCCCATTCTATATTCTGCAAACACACCACCCCCAGGCCACAGAGGAGGGGAAGGCAGAGTCCCCCAGGTGGGGCCTGGGCTTCAGGATTTTAAACTAATTTCCCAAGGAATTCTCAGGCAGTCTCCAGATTCAGAACTGCTGGGTTGGATAAACCCCTGGAGGACACAGTGAAGATGACTTCACCGTTAAAAAGCATCCTTCAGGCCAGGCACAGTGGCTCACACCTGTAATCCCAGCACTTTGGGAGACCGAGACTGGTGAGGTCAGGAGTTCAAGACCAGCCTGGCCAACATGGTGAACCCCCATCTTTGCTAAAAATACAAAAATTAGCTGGGCATGGTGGTGCATGCCTGTAATCCCAACTACTCAGAAGCTGAGGCAGGAGAATCTCTTGAACCTGGAGATGGAGGTTACAGTAAGCTGAGATCACACCACTGCACTCCAGCCTCTCCATCTCAAACAAAAAAGAAAAATGCCCTTAGGGCCCACTGGGAACCCCACTTCCAGCTATACACACTTCTTTCCCTAGCTTCCCCTAAACCAGGCAGAGGGATCCACACCACGCCCCGCATATCAGGGCCCCACTCTCCAGATCCCAGCCTCTCCTCATCTCAGTTGAGCACCGACAGCCTCTGGAAGGTGAGAAGCCACAGGGGGCCTGGCCCAGGGGGTCCCACCTGCTTCCCACTCCACTCCCAGAGCTGTCTGCCGGCATGCCTGTGTTGCGGACATCCGTGCCGGGGCAGACCGTGTGTCCCTACTGTGGAAACCTCATCATCACGGTGACCTCCTTTGTCCCGGGCACCCTCTCCTGGCTGCTGTGCACCACCCTCTTTGTGTTTGGGTGAGTGGCCACCCTCAGCCGCTGCAGAGGCCTGAGCATTGGTATGGGTTGGTCCGGGTGGGTCCCTGCAGGGTACAGGGAGCTTTCAGGGAAAACAGAGCAGGACCACGTATAGGGGAGGCCAGTTGGGTGGCCATTACCTCCTTGAGAGGAGGCTGCAGTCCTGTGACCCAGGAACCCCCCGTGAGAACAGCGGGGAGCACGGGGGTGAGTGATGCCTGAAGAGCAGCTGGCTCAGGGCACCCATGGCAGCTGCTCTGACACTGATGGGTGAGAACACATGGGTTTAAGATGGTTCTCACCTCTCAGCTGAGGAGTTTTAAAACATACAGAGGGGTGGGTGTGGTGGCCCACACCTATAATCCCAGCACTTTGGGAGGCCGAGGCAGGTGGGTCACTAGAGGTCAGGAGTTCGAGACTAGCCTGGCCAACGTGGTGAAACCTCATCTCTACTAAAAATACAAAAATTAGCTGGGTGGTGGCATGCGCCTGTTATCCCAGCTACTTGGGAGACTGAGGCAGGAGAATCGCTTGAACCTGGGAGGCGGAGGTTGCAGTGAGCCAAGATTGTGCCATTGCAATCTAGCCTGGGCAACAGAGTGAAACTGTCTCAAAAACAAACCACACACACACACACACACACACACACACACACACACACACACGCCCGGGCCCCTCCCAGACTCTGCCTGGGCCCCAGGGTCATCCAGCGTGCAGCAGGAGAGGTGGCCCCCGCTCACGCCGAGCCTCCACTCCGGGCCGCAGGTGCGTCCTAGGCTGCTGCCTCCTCCCGTTCTGCTAAGGACTGTAATGGACGTGAAGCACTCATGTCCCATGTGTCAGCGTGAGCTCTACCACTACAGCCGTCTGTGAGCCCCTGAGAAATAAATGCCAGGGGCACCAACTAGGCATGCCTGCGTCTGTGTCCTCACCTCCTGCCCTCCTCGTAGCCCGGGAGGTTGGGTGGCTGCCGGTGCTCCAGGAGCCTGCATCGAGCACATGGGAGCCGCACTGTTCCGTCCACCTCCATCCTCTTCTGACCCCTTAGAGCCACAATCCATAGCTCAGCCCCATCTTTCTGGGCTTTCTCCCATCAGCCCAAGCCTCTGCCTCTTTGGGAAAACCATCTCCCTGCAACCCCAGCTGGGAGGAAAGGGAGATCTTTCCTGTTCTGTTATCCACATCCTCACCCACCGCACGCCCCTCAACCCACATCCGGGCTCACTCTGGGCCCTGCCCCTGCCTGGCTGACCAGTGGCTCCGTTGCTAAGTGCAACATCCAACAGGTAGTTGCTCCTTCGCTCCTTACCTGCCTGGGTTCTCTGCAGCCCTTGGCACTCACCCTCCCTTCCCCCAGAGACCTCATCTCCTGGGCGGCAGTGGTTCTCCAGCCCCTCTTGGCCGGTGATCCTCAGGGTCTGGCCTTGGCTCCTCCTGTCACACCCAACGTTTCCCTCCTTAGCTCCAGCATCCCACCCAAAACCTTCTCCCTAGGACGCCTGGGCCCCTGCAGAGCCAACAGGTCTCACAGTGATTCCCTCTTCCCTCTTCTCCTGGGCCTGCCTGGTGGCTGGGACAAGAGCGGGTGGCAGTGCCCCCTCCAGGGCAGCCTTTCAGTCCTGTCCTCCTTGCCCTGCAGTGATTCCTTCCCTCCCCTTTATCTGCCATTGAAGGAGGCAGCAGCTCCGAGTCTCCCTGGAGTCTCACCCGCTCCCGCTGTTCTGCAGCAGCTGGTGGCTGGCACCCATCGGGTGATTCTTGTGGGCAAGGATCCCGAAGTCCGGCTCGGACTATCCCAGACACCTGCCGATGATGTGCCTCTCTCAGCCCGAGTCTACATGCTTCCCCTGGGGCCCCCCGAGGCCATCTGTGAGCTGGCTCCTGATCCCGTCCACCCTAGCCAGACAGGACCGAGTGCTACTCTGTCCCCAACCGCCCGGCCTCCCCAGGCTGCTCCCAGCAGTGCCCTGCCTTACAGTCAGCCCCTGCTCTGTCACAGTCTGGTCACTGGTTCTCTGTTCTGTCACTTTCCCAGGCGATTCGTGAGGCCTTGGCCAGGGCCTCGGGGGACAGGCGGGTTATAGAAGCTAGGATGGGGCAAGTCTACCCAGATCTGTTGGGCTTCCCACCGAGATTTAACCCTTAAGACTCCTTCCCAGCTGCAGCCTTACGGCATGGCAGAGCTGCTGCGGAGGAAGGTGGACGTTAACAGACCCCAAATAAGCTGACGAACCCCTTTCAGGGTCTTCCTGCAAATAAGGTCAGGAGGGGGATGATGGGTATAGGAAAATCCAGTATCACCATGGAAGGACTTAAATTTTGCAAAATAGTGTGGTGGCTCATGCCTATAATTCCAGCATTTGGGAGGCTGAGGTGGAAGGATTGCTTGAGACCAGGAGTTCTAGACCAGCCTGAGCAACATAGCAAGACCTTGTTTCTACTAAAATGTGGGGGAAGAAAAAAATTAGCAGGGCATGGTGGCGTGTGCCTTTAGTCCCAGGTACCCAGGTGGGTGAGGTGGGAGGATTGCTTCAACCTGGGAGGTCGAGGTTGCACTGAGCCCTAATCATGCCACTGCACCCCAGCCTGGGTGACAGGGTCTCAAAAAGTGAATAAATTTTGTAAAGTAGAAATACTGTTCTACTTGTCGTGTTTTCAGATAAGATGAATTTCACAGAGGGGAGGAAACAGGTGATGGAAGAATTAGGGGAAGAAGAGGAATAATCGGGAGCTGGGGTCATGGGAAGCAGTCTCCGCTGAAACGCAGCTGAGAGGTGCTGTAAAGCTCACACCGATGGGAGATTGACCCATTATTGCCCCACCCTACAGATGTGGAAGCCACGGCCGAGGTGAGTAACTAGATCAGCACTGGAGACGTAGTCTGTCCACCTCAGGCTCCAGCATCAGGGAGGAAGGTGCAGAGGTGGGGGTGCATGTGTGTGTGTGGCTGAAGGCCTGGAAGGGTGTGTGCGTGTGTGCACACACGTGTATGTATGTATGCATGTATGTGTGGCTGAAGGTCTAGAGGGAGGGTGTGTGTCTGTGTGGCTGAAGGCCTGGAAGGGTGCATGTGTGTATGTGTGTGCGTGTGGCTGAAGACCTGGAGGAGCAGTGCCTGTGTGTGTCTGTGTGGCTGAATGCCTGGAAGGGGGCGTGTATGGCTAAAGGTCTGGAATGGTGTGTGTGTGTGTGTGTGTGTGTGTGTGTACATGAGTGTGTGTGGCTGAAGGCCTGGAGGAGGGGTGCATGTGTATGTATGGCTGAATGCCTGGAAGAGTGTGTATGTGTGTACGTGTGCATGCGGCTGAAGGTGTGGAGTAGGGGGGTGGGTGTGTGTGTGGCTGAAGGTCTGCAAGGGTGCATCTGTGTGTTCGTGTGTGTCTGTGGCCAAAGCCCTGGAGGGATAGAAGGAGCATTACCTGTCTTCTGTCATGTGGTTTTCAGCCGGTAGAGGTTCTGGAAGCTGGAGGTCAGTCAACACCCACGTTGGTCAAAGCCCAGTGTGATGGGGCTGGCAGGTCCTCAGGTCATATCGGCTCTGGGGAAGGCCAAGTTCTGGGACAGGTTTCCCTGGAGTAAAGTGCCCGATGCCTGTGCCTCTGCCACCACCCAGACGCCTGGCTAAACCAGAACAACTTCCCTGTCCATATCAGCAGCAGGCCCCAGAGCCTCCATTTCCACATCTAGACACTCAGCAAGATTTTTAGGGTTGGATGGTGAAGTTTCTGACACAAATTAGGCACTGAATACTTGGGAACCCCAGTAAGTTCCTGAAGACAAAGGAGGTAACCTCTCATTTGTAATAAATGATGACACAGGGGCACAGGTCAACACAGGGAGACAGAAAAGGCCCTGGTGGGCGAGTTGGGTGGTCATTGATCCCGGCTATATCTCAAGACAAGATGCTAGGGACTCACCCAGGACGAGGGCCCAACCACCTGGCCTCCACTTTCCAGAGGGAGATACTTGCTGGCTCTACAGAGCAGCCAGGCTGTGGCAGGTGACAATCAGGGGGCTGCTTGGTCCTGCTGGCAAGGGCCCCTTGCAGCCTGAAACCTTCACCTGCAGAGTTCAGCCGGAGACCCTTGTTCTGATTCCACACAGCCTGCCTGCTTTGACTCAGATTGCCAGATGGCTCCACAGACTGGCGCCTGCAGTTCAGGAACAGTGTCCGACCATGGCCGGGCTCTGCTCACTCGGTGTGGACTAACTGGGGTCAGGTCCTCCTCAGTCACAGGAGATCTTTCACCGGCCTTGGTCAGTCACCGCCAGGTCCTTGGCATGGCTGCAAGCTTCTGCCGTGACTCTATGGATGAGTTCCCAGGCCTTCTGAATGCAGACTGGCCCATGTTAGAAAAACATCACTTGCCAACTTAGAAGTAGAACCCACATAGAAAATCTAGGATTTTTGGCTTGGTGAGGTGGCTCACACCTGTCATCTCAGCATTCTGGGAGGTCAAGGCAGGACGATCGCTTGAACCCAGGAGTTTGAGACCAGCCTGGGCAACATAAGGAGACCCTGTCTCTACAAAAACTTAACAGATTAGCTGGGCATAGCAGTGACACCTGTGGTTCCAGACTTGGGAGGCTGAGGCAGGAAGACTGCCTGAGCCCAGGAGGTTAAAGTTGCAATGAATCATGATTGCACAACTATACTCCACCCTGGGCGATGGAGGGAGACCCTCTCTCTAAAAAACTAAAATTGTTTTTGTAAGTCCAGGCTTCTCAGGTTCTGTTGTCTGAAGGTGTAGGTGCAGAGGACCTGGGGTCTTGAGAGGCTGGATGTCATCTGTCCCTTGGCCCACCTCCCTGGAATACCCCCAGACCCAAGCCTCAAGGTCTCTGTAGTCACTGCCTTAGAAAACAGGACCTAAGTCGCCATTTGAGGTCTCTCAGTGTTCCAGTGTCTGAGGCCCTGTCCCAGGGAAGCCTCGGTTCTCCTATGCCAAGACTTGGCCGCAGGGCCAGGCAGAGGCAGGGTCAGGGCTTCGTTCTCCTGCACTCCTTTCCTGGACCATTGACCTGTTCCTTAATGCCCAGCTTCAGGGCCTGTCAAAAGGGCAGCCCATCACTGGCAGATGAGCTTGACAAGTTGCTGAGCCCTCATTTGAAACTGGGACAGCCCCCATTCTGCCCCACAGGATCGGCTGAGCTAGGGAGGTGAGGTGGGCAGCCAGTGGGGGTCTGAATGCCCACTCCACACTGGGCAAGGCCCAAGTCCCCATGAACTCAGGGCTCTGGCCTATTTTGGGCTGCCAGATACCTCACTGCTGACCCCTCAGGGCTGGCTCACCGTGCACAATGGTTATCACCAAGGGGTTTCTTGCTACTGTCTCTCCTAATTAGCCAGAGTCAAGAGTCTGAACAGCCCCTTCCTACCTTCTCACAAGAGTCCAATGGGCAGGCATGACACTGGAGCCGGCTCGTGGGCAGAACTCGCTGGTGCCCTTCCTCACAAGGCCATCCATACCACTTCCCAACTGGAGCTCTCGGCTCAGCCAGGGAACAAAGATGCGCCTAGCGGACCTCACCTCGAGCCACGCCCTGTGGAACAAAGGGTACCGAGAGGCCATCAAGACTATGCTGAGAAGCTTGAGCAGCTCCTGGACTAACCCTCCCCACCAGAGAGGGGCTGGCCTTAACCACCTTTCCCTGATTCCTTGAAAAACCAGCTTTGCAGCAGTTAAGTTTGAAAGGGTTGAGTGTCACTGACTACTTGTGGGGGAAGGACAGGCAGTGTCATCTTTATTTTTATTTAGAGATAGAGTTTTGCTCTTGTTGCCCAGGCTGGAGTGCAGTGGCATGATCTCAGCTTACTGCAACCTCTGGCTCCCGAGTTCAAGTAATTCTTCTGCCTCAGCCTCTCAAGTAGCTGGGATTATAGGTGTGCGCCACCACGCCCAGCTAATTTTTGTATTTTTAGTAAAGACGAGATTTTTCCATGTTGGTCAGGCTGGTCTCGAACTCCTGACCTCGTGATTCACTCACCTCAGCCTCCCAAAGTGCTGGGATCACAAGCATGAGCCACCATGTCCTGCCTGCGTGCGTCTTACTACAGGAACTGGACTTCATGAGTGGTCTGAATCCCTAACTTATTCCCTCTCCCAAGTGGTGTACAGGCTGTGCAGGCATCTTGCTGTGAACGTCCCGGGCCCACCCCCAGATCCAGCCATTAATAGCTGGCAGCTGGTAGGGGGTCAGTGACCCCCTTGGAGCTGATAAGGGGGAACCTGCACAATTTTGCTCAGACCATTCAAGGCCTCCAGGCCTCACCAGTTAAAGGCCATGAAAGGCAAGTCAGAAGACGCACAGGCACCCAACTCCCCCAACGGCCAAATGCAGGAATGGGGGACTCTGTCCTTTCAACTGTTCTCACTCAGAAAACCAATCTCCCAAAAGCTTCCTTTAGGGAGGAGGCCATAACGAATGACTACTCCAATGCATATCCCACTTTATGTCACACTCAACAGCCCTCAGATTAGTCACTGCAACTCACAAGGTGGAGAAGGTTTTGTTACAACGGCATACCCACCATGGCAGGCATCAGCCTCATGTGCAAACCAGAATAAAATTAAAAATCAACCACTCTGCCACTTAAACCACATTTCAAGTGCTTTATAGCCACAGGTGGCCAGTAGCTTCACCATGACAGAGTTCTGCTGAACATGACTGGGTGAGAACAGGGTGGTAACAAGGCTGGCCAGAAACACTACCCATTATTCACACAAAAGCCTTAGGATGTAGTCCAATGGTGTTGGGAACAACTGTGTGTAAACATGCTTTAGTAAGGGGCAAGGCCTTGTTCTATGTCATCTTGACTCTCCTCCTCCCCCAGGGTACCTACCTACACCACTAGGAGGTAGTGACTCAGCTGCCTAAGAGGCCCTTCTATCAAGCCATGAAGACAGGTTCATTTCCCTACAACTCAGGGTTAGCAAACCTACAAAAGACTTGTTTTTAAAAATGAAGCTCTGGCGGGGCGTGGGGGCTCATGACCGTAATTACAGCACTTTGGGAGACGGGCAGATCATCTGAGGTCGGGAGTGTGGGACCAGCCTGACCAACATGGAGAAACCCCAACTCTACTAAAAATACAAAATTAGCCGGGAATGGTGGCAGCCACCTATAATCCCAGCGACTTGGAAGGCTGAAGCAGGATGATTCTTTGGACCCGGGAGGCAGAGGTTGCCATGAGCCGAGATTGCGCTATTGAACTCCAGCCTGGGAAACGAGCGAAACTCAGTCTCAAAAATAAACAAAAAAACCCTAAGCTTTGTGGGAACAGCCTCACCACTCAAGTGTTCTCTGTGGCTGCATTTGTGCTGCTGGCAGAGTTGAGGGTCCCAACAGACATCATCATGCAGTATCTACTCTCTGGCCTTTTATAGAAAGTTTACCAACCCCAAGCCAGATGAGCATAGTGGCTCACACCCATAATTCCAGCACTTTGGGAGGCTGAGGCGGGTGGATCACTTGAGGTCAGGAGTTCAAGACCAGCCTGGCCTACAAGCAAAACCCCATCTCTACCAAAACACAAAAATTAGCTGGGTGTGGTAGTATGTGCCTGTAATCCCAGCTACTCAGGAGGCTAAAGAATTGCTTAAACCTGGGAGGCGGAGATTGAACCTGGGTGACAGAGAGACCCTGTCT